GTCAGCTGATCAAAATTCACCTTACTTCGATCACTGATGAGACTGTGGTTGTATCTTCGAGAGTTGACTAAAATTTGCCGAAATAGCGTACCTTTTTCGACTTTGTTGGAGAACTGTATGTCACGACAAAAGTACAGCTACAGCCTAGCTTCATCAGTGATGAAAGAATTTCAATAAACAGTCAAAAAAAGAAGAAAAGAAAATACCCTTTGAATAAAAAAATACATAATTAAACTATAATACTTACTATCACTCAAAACTAAAAATAATAACATTAAAAATAACATAAATTCATTAATTAACCAAACATAAAAAACATTAGAACTTATAGTTACACAAAACTTTGGCCAATTGCCGAAAGTCAAACAAAACTTTGGTCATTGACGAAAGTATAGGTGACGAAAGTCTCAGGTGACCAGTTTCCGGTAATTCTAGTTTTTCTGCGTTTGCACTCTTTCTGAAGAATCGATGAGAGTTAACATGAGTGGATATGAAGATTTATGTGTATAGAAATGTTCGAATCACCATGATAGAAGACTTTCTATAGATAATGTATCTTTGTCAATGAGTTTGACCATTCACTCAACGAATAATGCCTTTTCGCATTGAGCTCAAAGATACTATCGATGGGACGAAATGATAAATTCTTTTCGTCAAATTTCGATAAGACAACAATCGATGGTATTCTGCAATTGCATCCTCATCAACAACAAAAATGAACTCTCGTATGACACTGTATCATGTGTGTTCGTTTAATCAACAGAGGTTTACTTGTCGTTGAGTGAAAAAAAGCACGACGACAATACAAGGATTATAAAAAACAATATATAGCTAGAGAAGTTCTCAAATTATGCTCAAGTCAGTTGTGTTGCGTTGTATTTCCCAAAAAAAGATAATGTTGTCTTTTTTCCAGATATAACAAACCTGTATGATAATCAAAACTTTCTTGTTTCTCTTAACTTGAACACCAGTTCTTGCCGAATAATTTCTCTAAAAGAATTTGAAATTGACAAAGATAAGGAGGAAAAACAATCTTGTTTTGATGGTCGAATTGCGTTTTAGTTCTTTGTGGTCACATTTGGGACAAACACTCAGTGATGATTTATTGAAATGACGCCAATGACGGATCTCTTCTTGTCATACTCGATCGTTCCTGCTTTAAACATGGTCGATTTCTGTTGGAGGTTAAAAAAACAATTTCCTATATTGTTTGCCCAGTGCTACTCTTCCCTGCTGTCATCAACAACAGTCGTTTCGATCTCATTGAGCACATTGTTTCATCAAATGTGTGTGTACCGAAATCGGTCAATGATATTATATATTCTTGTAGTATTTGAAAAGCTTTATCCATTGCATACGAAAAATAGGTATGAAACTTCAGAGAAGTAACGAAATTACTAAGCAAGAGCCCAAAAATTTCGATTAAGTGATTTTATCAAATCAATGACAAAGTCAATTTCAATGACAAAGATAAGGAGGAAAAACAATCTTGTTTTGGTGGTTTCCCCCTTAAAATGGACCAGGTTTAGTGAGTCAAATGGGTAAAACTGGATTCGGTTTCGATTCAAGTGAAAACACTCTCCTTCGACTCACTCCATAGAATATTTTTTACTTATGACATTGCAAATTGTGTCATCTGCTCTTGGATATTTATTACACTAAAATGCCAGTTTTACTTCAGTAGCAATCAAAAGAAAATTTTTTAGTCGGAAACAAAATTAGGAATTTAGAACTGTCGCGGAAAAAACATACAAATGATATACCTTTCGCTATAACTAAATCACATGAGTTTTCATCTTCTAATCAAGATAAATTTCGAAGAATCCGGTCATTCTTTTCGTCAGAGAAGACTATTCTTTTGAAAATATTCATCCCTTCTAAAAAGCTCACTAGTTTACAGTATCCAATATTTGTTTCATATTAATTGGTCGTCTCAATGGACCACTTATATTGTTAAGAATAAAACTAAAGAAAAGAAGATCTGTGTTGACGCCGAGACACACGTACATACATTCTTCTTCAAGATCTTATCATGTCGGCTACTACTGCATCAGCTTCAGGTGATCAACAGCCTGTCTCTTTGAGCATGGCACAAATTGCATAAGTACGTTCTCAATTACAATCCGATATTGAAATGTTACAATCGTCTATTCAACGTCTCCAATTTGCTCAAGAAGGTTTTGGTGAATCAATGTTAGCTGTACCTCGTATACCGGCAACTTCAACTAACAATCAAGATAATACACTACTTGTACGACTTTCATCATCTATGTATGTTCCTGGTCGTCTTTCGCATACTGAACATGTTGTAGTTGATATTGGTACGGGATATTTTATTGAAATGCGTCCAAAAAAGCACAAGATTATTTTAAACGTAAACATGATTATATTCAAATTGAAATTGATAAATTACAAAAGGTTTTATATGATAAATTATTAACAAGACAACAAATTAATGGTATATTACAAATGCATCTTCAACAACAACAGCAGCAACAACAACAACAACAACAGAAATGAACTTTTTTGTGTGATATTTTAGTGTATTTGTTCGTTTGATTAATAGATACTCATTTGTTACAGTTTTAAAAGAAAAAGAAAAGACAATACATTGGTTTTCTAAGATGATCATTAAAAAAATAATTCAGCAATGGTTATGCATCTTTTTTTCCGGTGATATTTGATTTTATTGAGAGAACAGATGATTAATTACAGAAATAAATTCAATAGGAAAATGAATTTTTTTGATAGTTTGCAGCTGGTTTTAGTTAAATAAAAAAAAATGAATGTTGATATTGAAAAAATATTTTGTTAGTTTTTCTATATACATCAGGATAAAGATATCCATTTCTGTAATTGTGATATTAGTAACAGTGACGGACCAATTGTTTTTCCCAGATTTTCTTCTGAATATCAAAATATTCATTATCATGTTCATATTCTTCACCAATCAAACACCTTTTCATTGATTTCTTTTGTGGTCGACTACTGTCAAGATCACGTTGTCCGTCGATCATCTCTTTACGTAAAGCTTCCTGAGCATGCTTTTGTTCTTCTTTTCTTCGTTGTTCATCATGACGACGTTTGTCTTCAGCTAGCTGTTGATTTCGCACAGGATCCCATTGTGGAGAATGTTGAAGAAAACAATTAAGTCGACGGCACAAGCCTCCCTATCGACACTGCTGTGTATTTCTAACCATTTGCTGTTGGCGAAGTTGAACAAGCTCTTCGCGTCTTTCCTGTTCAATTCTACCTTGATTCGCTGCAAAGTCTCATCCGTCGGGATGTTTGAATGGACATTCGTGGCGACTACACTTGTCACCAAAACCACAGTCAATAGATGACTTCCGATGGTTTCCACTCTTTCTACGACTAGTCATTTTGAATAACTATAAAAATCTTGCTTTATTAAAATTGTCTCAAATGCAATTTACACGTATGGAATGTCGACAAGGCGTGTACTGGTTGTGCGATTACTATGTTGGAAATTGTGCTCTTCTGTATTTTTGACGGCAAGAAACAGGTGAAAAAAATATGTGTCACAATTATTTTCTTCTTTTATTATCGTTCGTTTTTTATATGATAAATTGAAAACAATGGTTTTTTTTGCCGACCAACAAAGCTCCGATAGTTCAAAATTCTCTGAGATTCTACTACTGGATCAGAGTGTTGCTAACATTTCCTAGCTAAATATCAAATCTTTCAACTATCCAACTTTCTAAAAATATCAAAACAAAAGACTGGACAAACTACACGATTTTGTACATTTCGAACACTTACAAAATTCTATTTATCATACAAGTTGGATTTTGAGAAAAAAAAGATAAATCGAAAACATAGAGAGAAGGTTCTTTATATACGTTTATAAATGGGAATTTTTATTTGCTATATGTTATATGGTACGGAAAGTAATAGTGAAGCATAGATAAGAGGTGGACAAGACTCATCTGATCATTTCACAATCCTTATTCTATTAAAAATCGTGATGAAATGATGTATTGATCAGAAAACACGAAATAAAAGAGCGAGACTACATCGAACAATGAGAAAAGTTGTCACGACCGAATTAGATGTAGTCAAAGGTACTTTTACATGGATAATAGAGTACGCATAACCAACAAGTTTTTGCAAAAAAAAACCGGAAAATGGTGTCTGTTCACAGAGATATTTTATTTATAATAATTCAGCTTAAAAATTATAAACTTTTGACATAGCGCACGCTTTGCGATTACATTATTCTTTGACCATACAGGCGGAAATTCATCTATTCTAAACGAAAACTATTAAAAACACAACGCCATAAAACGATTTCCTCTGTATTCTCAAAAAATAAAACCCATGGCTCTTTCGCCTCAATCTGCGCCATCCTACATTCAGTCTGAGCGAAATTGCAAGATATATTGATCAAAGTATAGTTACGGCAACGCTTCCGAGGCTTCATTTATCAGTGTTTAGGGGACGTCCCCTGAATATGGGTGAAAATAGAGGTGTTCGTATTTCTGAAGAGGTCTCTTAACGGCAAACACCGAAGCGCTAGAGTTTGTCTTAAAATAAAGAAAACATGCATAGCTAAAGGCTAATAAAGCCCCATAACTTTAAAATTAAAACATCCTCTTGGGCTAGGGTACGTCTCTTTTCCACCAAATGTTTGCTCTACAATATGTTACTAGATCCAATTTATTCTTAGAATTTAACAAAATACAACGATAATACAAACTTATAGGCAAAACAAGGAGACAAAAAATGTCTAAACAGCAAGACAGAGAACATTCAGTACAGCAATCACCACTTTTCCGTACGTACAAGCATTCAGCAATACACGTATGGAAACAGACAAATAATAAAGAAATGAGACTCTGTAAGTATCCCGAACACAAACCTATAAGCTGGCGCCCTGTGTCCAGTGGAAAGGCTACCGATCTATTCGTTCCTAGATTTTTCCGTGTTTGGTCAGATATTATTAGATAGCAATGCTAAGTGACTTTCTAACCACTGGCTCGACTTTTGGCCTGTGATCCATTCTTCTCACTCTTTTTTACGTTCCTTTACGCTGACAGACACTTTTAGTTTTACTGTAGAGAGACATAAGAAATCAATTTTCACATAGCGTCGTTAACTTTAATTTTCGTACATGAGCCCGGCGAATAGAGAACTGGGGGTCGCATCCAGTAGTCCACATACTGATCTTTCAGTACTGGAATACTGGAGTTTTCTTGCAAGTATTGATCCAGTACCGCCTCTATTTTTCACTAGCAAGACTACTGAGTCAGTACTGAACACGATAATGGTTCAGTACAACATAGTTGACAGTACTGCTTAAGTTCTTTTCCAACGAATTTAATGAGCTAGTACTGTACAATACTGGTTCAGTACAAGATCGTTGCAGTCAGCACCAGTAAACCGGCCCGTTGGAATTACAACTCAAACCCGTGGAAAACCACCGAAATTATTTGAAAATCAAATTTTAGAAGATATTTTTTCCCATAAATAAAATAGTTTGCCTGCACCTGCAAGAGACACAATGACACAATGACACTATTAAGGTGAACCTTAAAGCTAGTTATGAAATACTATCTGTTTAGAGCAGTTTTTTTATTTATTCTGCCCAAAGCAGACGTGAAATCTTTGTTTTATGGTCAAAAGAGGAGATT